CAACATTTTCATTGTCGGAACAACGCAATAGACGAGAGTGAAGGAAAGAGCACGTTAGAGAGAATGACATTGTGGGTTTCACAACCGCGGGTTGATTTTCGCCATTGTTGACGGAACTTTAACTGTGTGGCAGAAATCAGCTCTAGGCAGTTATAGATGGCCAATAGATGGCCCTAACCATTTCTGGGGAACAACCGACATTAAGTACGAGTTGCAGGAGCTTTCTAAGGTGATTGATAAGTTGACCAAAATAGTTTTCTAGTTGACGATAGGGAGGACAGATTTTTATTGTATTTTCATTATGTTTATTATCATTTTAGTATTATTTACAATTTTTATTTTTGTCATTTATTTTTGTCATTTATTTTAATTAATCATTTATTTCATTTATTATTTATTATTCCCACAAAAACCCTGACTCATTTATTACTCAAAATTCCCCCAACCAAACCCCCTCCAACCCCACCTGTCATAATCTTGTAACAGCCGCCCAAATTACCCGCGCGTCCGCGGACTCGACGCTCACCTGTCTCTCTCTCTCTCTCGGCTTGTCATGGTCTTCATGCTGACACTCGTACTCCAGCTGACACTCGTACTCCAGCTGACACTCGTACTCACCTTGTCACACGGACTTGGGCATCACGTGACATGCATATCGGATGGCTCCAAACTCAACACTAAATGTTTCAGAGTCAAAGTCCGAGAGTTTGCTTTAGACACATGTGTGTGAGAGTGTATGTATGGCTATGTGCAGTTGTATACGGCTTGCACTGGGGACTTGATAGTCTTTGGTGTCGATCTTAGGAGTTTATTTGGTGTAGAAATGGAGCGAGTAGCGAGGGAGGGCGTAGTGGGCGGAGTGAGGGCGGAGTGAGGGCGAGTGAGGGCGAGTGGGGGCGAGTGAGGGCGGAGGTATGGGAGGAACTAGGAGGGTCACGTGTTTGGGGTGTGTGGTGGTTGTTCATATTAACTTGACGCTATCTCTCTCTTGACGTTTATTATTTGTATTAGATGTTCCGATGGTTCTACATCCACTTGTAGTAGAACTCGCCTTTCTGAACCACAATTATCTCATCACTGGTACAGCGAAATGCATGGAACTTTTGGGCCACAGTTGAATGCGTCTGGTCGGTGGGCTTCAGCCTCTTTGAAAATAACAAAAAAGCAATCCAATTTCCAATTCGGAACCGCCCCTGTCCCCATTCCTTCTTGTATGGTGTCGGAGGATTGAGTCTGGTGTAGAGTTTGACAGAGGAAAAATGTTAGATGGTTGATTTGTGCAGTTTCAAGCGAGTCGAAAAATGAAGAAAAGAAGACATGAAGTTGATCAGAGTAATTGCAGAGGTCTAATTGACCAATTTTTCAACATTTGGGTGTCTTAGATCTCTTCAATCGTGCGTTTTGGATGATTCTGTAGTGACCTCTTTTTTTTCTTTTTTTTTCCTTTTTTGCTCTTTTTCCTTTTTCACCTTTTTTTTCTGACAGCCGTCGGAGGGACTTGGGCGCGTCCATTACGCTTCGGAGATATGCCGGAGAATACCCGCGGCTCGAAAAAGCCGTGGTTACTGCTCAGCCGGCATTTGTTCCTCGATTCGCTTGAGCAAGTCGTTTTGAGACAAGGGAATGACGGCTTGACGAATACGCCAGACCAAGAAAAGAGCTGCAGAGAAAATGGAAAAATTTGGGGAATTCGGGGTAAATCAAGGATTGAGGGAAAATAAGGGAGTAGGGAAAATTGAGCAAATTGAGAAAATTGGGGGAAAAAAAACAAAATTAACGAGAAAAAAAAATTGGCCAAAATGCGGGAGACAAAAAAAATTAAATTAAATTAAATTAAATTAAATAATAATAAAAAAATCCCGGTTTGGGCAATTAGACAACTGACTGTCGGTAGGATTGCTTGATTGCTCTGTCACGTGATTCCACTCTCTCTGGCAATCAAGATTTCGGCATTTCCTTTTTTTCTTTAGGTTGGTGGAAATCGTTCATCGGTACGATTCAGATTCGGTTGGACTTCATTTGTCAGCGATAAGAGAAAGTTATTTTTTGAGTCTGCGAATGGGAATAAAAGATAATTAAATGATATTTACATTGAAAAAATAAAAAATCAATAAAAAATCAACAAAAAATCAATAAAAAATCAATCTTTTAAACCCACAGTAGCCTAAAATTTGATACTAATTAACAGGTATATTTGTATCTTATTATTTCCCTTCGGTTTTTTCATTTCATCTCATCACCTTCGCTCAAATACTCACGTGAATTCTTGTTTGATCGCCAAAACTTGCCGCCCATTTTCCTCTTTGTGTTTTCGTTTATAGCTTCCTCTTTGGGCTAATCCCGTTTACAGCTTCCATTTCGGGGGCTTGGGTTCCACCTTCTGTTTTGGGACGGCCCGCACAATAAACTACAGCTGACTAAAGAAAAAATCTGACTAATGTGTTTTGTTCGGAATAACGTGACCATTTCAAGGGTCTCGTCGACAATGTCATATACTGTGCCAAATTCCCCCCTGTCACACTGAGTCTCATATCAATTGGAACCGTATTTGACATATACTCAATGTTAATCAGATCAGACAAGCTTAGTTGTCGTGAATGACGCTGGCAATGTCATGGCCATCACATGGGGGACGTGGTTAGTGCGTTCCAGATCTATCTATGTCAAGAGTACGTCATGCCAACGGTTTTTCGGAAAGATTTTGGCCCAAACAAAGTCAGATCACAACCAGATTCTTACTACCGTATGTACGTGTGTATTACTCAGGGTATGTCGGATTCCGATACCAACATTTGTGAAGTGGTGCCCACCCGAACAATGTCATGCCCACCACAGAGCCGATGTAACGCTACCAAAGAGGATTTCGGGTATTGGTCGATCGAAATGAGCTTGCAGACATTTAGGTGTGTTTGTCTGAAGCTATACCATGTGTTCCGTGTAGATCCCTGGTTGGTTTTTGCGTTGCTTATGTAATCGGATGGAAAGAGCGACTGGAATTTTTTGCTGTCACTATGAGCATTGGATTGAGAGTGGTTGATATTCTGTTCGTATTGTCTTAAATTGTTGTTGTCGTCTAGTTTGATTATCTCTTGATGGCTCTTAGATGCTCCTGGAAAGAGGTGGTAACTTGGAGAGTTGTTCATGGAACGAGATTCGGAGTCGCTATGGACGAGAAGTTGACAAAAGTTCTTTTTGAACCAGCTCGATTCGCTATTAGGACTTTCTCCCTCGGTTTATCACAATAGTCAACGATTGGGCGAATCGGATTCAAATCGACGCGACTTTTGATGTTCATCTTCTCGGCAAAACTGAAAGCCAGGGTGTCGTGAAGGAAAGAAATGTTGATCCTTGTTGTCCAGCAGACGAATCAGATCAGACTTGTTTTTGGTCCAGTAATATCTTATAACAGTGTGAGAATGCTGTCGGTTCGTTGTTCATCTGTTCTAAGACGAGCCACCCGAGCAGAATGAAAAGGAGCTGGGTTCTTTACAAGTTGAGTTGTCTATGCGTTGAGTTGTCTACAAGCACAGATATTTATTACGGATTTACTTACCGATATTGCCTTCTTTTTGGTGGGTATAATTTGGAGGCAGTTCTATAGCTCACACTTTGTCTGCAGTCCTCCATCAATCTGCTGAGAATGAAGACATCAACTTGATAGAGACCTGAAGAACGTAATGATAGTATTTTTGATGTTACAAGGCTCTCTTTGATACTCCCCGGTTAGGACGTTTCTGTTTGAACTTGCACTTGTACTTGTATAAGTACTTGTACAGTAGGACATTCACACCCGGATCAGCTCACACTATTTTGTGCACTCTGGAAACACAAAAATTTCGGGTTATAACCACCATCTCAGCCAAATAGCGTCAGATAGAACTTGAACACTTGCTTTGGTAGATACGTGTACTTGTACTCCATTACTTGTGCTTGAACAACTTGGAGTCCCTACTTGTACTTGCACCTTTCTTCCAGGACCCTATCAAAGGAAACTTCAATCACTGCTAGAGAGAATGGACTAGTCAACTTGGTTCCGAAATGGAATAGCCAGGTTGGTTCCACGCTCAATCGAACCCTCCACTATTATTTAGTCAGATATTCTCTTGTTGAGTCTTGAGTCTCAGATAGGAAAGACACTTGCTATCGGAACCCCTCGATTGAAAGTCGTCATATACTCGTACCAGTGTTCGATTTTCACTTTACATTCGGATCAGCCTTCAATGTGAAACCTGAAATATCAATGTCAAACTCTGGAAAATCCACACGATACTTTTCATCGAATTTCATCTATCGATTTCTAAGACACTACTGGTGAGCTTTAGAATTCGAGTTGCTCCGGGGGGGGAGGAAAAACAGTACAAGTACAAGCAAGTTCGGGTGACTCCAAAAAAAGAAATCAGGGTAGGAAAATGAAGAGAAAAAAGTCTAGATGTATGAAATAACAACTCATCATCGCTACCAACAACACAGTCACCAATTTGCCTCGAGAAAAAGCAGTCCTGCGGGTGAAACCAATATACACTATACAAGAAGTAATTCAGCCAACCTAAGCACTAGTACAATATTGCGAAATATCTACTCTAAAACGACAAGAAATATATTCTCGGAATCCCAGAGCTCCAGGGAATACGACAATATAAGTCTGAACACGGAAATGTAACCGATTGATTAGTTACCCTACTTGTTTCACGGGCCAATCACAACTATCAAACCTTATTGAGTCAATATGTGCATATGTTGAGTCAACCAACGAGTCATTTTTGTTTTGTGCATCAACAGATTATCACACTCAATTGTCGTCAGAAGTGGTCCAAAAAAAGAGTGACTGAGACTACAATTGCAAAAAGGCAATATTCGGGATTCTCGTTCAAATTCTGATCATTTTACCGACAGAAAATTAATCAGCCCAACCGAGGTTCGAACACACAACCAGACAAGCTCAACTAAATACTTGAGATTCAAGTAACCTTACTTAGCAGATCGCCATATTCCATTTCGTCATGCCCTTCAACAAGTCCAAAACAGACTACTCAATCTACCTCGTCACCGATTCTGGTCTCGTGCCTGACAACTTTACACTTGAACATCAGGTGGAGCAATCTATTCTAGGAGGAGCAACTCTCATTCAGCTCAGAGAGAAGACGGCGGACACTGGAAAGTTTCTGGAGACCGCCAAACGGATCCACGCCATTACCAAGAAGCATGGTGTGCCCTTGCTGATCAACGACCGGCTGGACATTGCTCTCGCCATTGACTGCGAGGGAGTGCATGTTGGACAAGACGACATGCCCGTGGTGGAATGCCGACGAATGCTGGGAGAGGACAAGATCATTGGCTTGAGTATCACCAACCGGGAGGAGTATGATGCAGCTCTGGAGGCAGACGCAGCCGGTGCGAACCTCGATTACTTTGGAGTGGGTGCTATCTATGGAACCTTCACAAAGAAGCTGAGAGCCGAGCCCCTGGGACTCAGTGGTGCACGAAACCTGTTTGCTTACATCACTGAGAAGGAGAAGTCTCTCTCCCGGCAACACAAGTTTGTCACTATTGGAGGCATCAAGCCTGACAACACGCCATCTGTGCGATACATGTGTGGTGCGACATGTAACGGAGTCGCAGTTGTGAGCTGCATCATCGCTGCTCAGGATGCCAAGCTGGTGACCGAAGTCCTGTCAAAGCAGTGGCATGACGCCATTACTGAGCCTGTTCTTCAAGTGACGACTGAAACTCTCAGCAAGATCAACTCATATTTCGGCACCCCCACATTTGTGCACCACATCACCAACAATGTGGTTAAAAACTGCTCTGCCAACATCACCATCGCCATCGGCTCGTCCCCCGCCATGAGTGAGACTCGGGCAGAATTCCACGAGTTTGCTGGTATCCCCAACGCTTCTCTTCTTCTGAACATGGGCACTGCCACTTCCGATGGAGTTGAGACGTTCCTGGCTGCTGGTCAGGCTTACAATGCTGCTCGTCGACCTGTGGTTTTCGATCCTGTTGGAGGTGGAGCTTCCGAGGCACGAAAGTCGGCCGTCAAGACTCTTCTCAAGGGTATCCGAATGTCTGTCATCAAGGGAAATGACGGTGAAATCTTCTCTGCTGCTGGACTTGCTGGAAAGATGCGGGGAGTCGACAGCATCGGGGAGTCTCTTCTGGACGAGCGTCTCAAGGCCGCCTTCAAGCTGTCTCGTGATGCCAATACCGTTGTTGTCATGACCGGAAAGAAGGATGTCGTTATTGGTCCCTCTGGCCAGTATGTCCTTGTCGATAACGGAGATGAGTTGTTGACTCAGATTACCGGATCGGGTTGCATGCTTGGTTCTGTGATTACCTCTATCGTTGCGGGACATGTTGGCGACGTTTTCGACGCTGCGTTGGCTGGTCTGCTACTGTACACCATTGCTTCCGAAAAGGCCGGTCCTTTGAGCGATGGCCCCGGAACTTTTGTGCCTCGGTTGATTGACGAGATCAGCAAACTGGCCAAGACGGGCGTCCAGGTGGAGGACATCAAGGTCCAGTTTGGAAAAATCTAGTAAACTGGGGAAATGAGGTCAACTGAGTAAAATCCGAGTGAATCTAATAGTATAATGTGCAGAACTAAAATAAAATATCCAACCACTCATTATAATTATAGATGTGAAAAGTCGAGTCCAATTATATAAATAGAAGGAAAATCCCGTAATGATGTTAGAAGACCGTCTCCCTTTCTATATTCAAGTAATTACTGACACAGCCATCGAGCTTTGGATCTCAAGGTCCCGTGAGATCAGTGTCTATCCACACAGATAACTTGTAAACACCAAACCAATGAGTCGATATTGTCCAAGAATAACGAAACATTCCGCCAGACTATCCAAGGTACAACACATGATTCCTTTCGGCCAAGCGGTTTCTGCTTGAATGTTTTTCTTGACCTTTTTGAAAATCCAGCCGCTTGGGTGGGTCTTGGAACCTTTAAATGTCTTCGGTCTTGGGCTCACTTGGCTAGGTCTGTCTGGTTTTATTACGGTACTGTACCGAAACCAAAGTGGCACACGGGTTAGTTGATGTTTTTGAGTCCTTCGCGACGGTGCTATCTCTGACCGCAACTTGATCGAAAGGGGGGGTCTCAGTGCCAACCTAGTCACTAGAGCTCGGGATGAGGGCACCTGTAGAGTGGCGGAAAGGGTTGGCTCGTGCTCATCAACTCCGCTTCTTCTTCCCTCTTTGCAGATCCAATTCGGCTCTTGTTGCCTCTTTTTCTTGGTCTTTGTCGAAACCAGCAACTGGTTTCTCAAGACGCTAAAAAATAGAATTGCTTCATCACTGCCGTCACCGAGCACCCATGTCACAGTCACGTCCGTCCCGTTGCATGTTCCGCTTTTGTTTTTCGGCAATGTAAGTGGTTGCTCCGGAGCGGAATTCCCGATCTGTGTTTCTGCCGGGTTCTTTCTCCACCCTTCAATCAGCTACAAGTACAGTAGCCTGTTTCGTATTTTTAGTATCCAACTAATGGTGGAAGCAGGTGGGGCACTGACCTGAAGCTAATGTAATGACACTCTAGTCAGTATTATGACTTGAGGGGGGTATTATAGGGGTAAAATGGCCTAGCAGGGACCAAATTGTGCTTGTCTGTGGCCATTCGGTCGGACCGAGGGTGGTCCATTTGCGATACTGACTAGAAATCAGTCAACTTTTTGAATGTCAGACTCAGACAGATCGAACATGAACAGTCGTAGAACCCTAGAGGCCGGGAATCCTAGAAAAACCCCTAGAAACTGAGAACCCTAGTGTGTGATGAGATCCGAAAACAAGGGAGGACCTAAAAACAAGACTAAAATAGAGCTAAGGGGTACAAAGGGCGATGGGGGTAGCATCCACTAGCCACTTGTAGCTACCGCAGACTAGACGTTTACATACAATAGGGAAAGATGGATTAATATTTTTCCGCTTGTATGTTGTACGATGGTACAGGATAGAGTAGTGTGGGGGGCGTCGCCGCAACAAGAAATATAGCTCGTTCGGCTAGAGTTACCTTGGTCGAACTCGGGGTCCTCGAGTAAGTAGGTCTATGCATAATTTGTACCTGAATCTCGTCAAACACCAGATGTGACACAGACGGGCCGTCGTTTGTAGCTGGTTATGTAGGACGGGGATGATATGACAGCCTTGCGCGCAGAATCCAAGCCGGGTCAGATGGCGATTTGAGCAGCCGTCTTCTTTTCAAATCGCATTCCGTGGCATTTTTACCTTGCTTAACGTTTGCTAATGGAAGTGTACGGCTGTAGGATCGCAAACCCTGCCAAGCCACTAGCGGGTGTTGTGTGGTGGAAACGGAGAAACCAATGTGGAAGCCGACAACAGACGACATTAGCCGAGAGATGGTCCAAATCCTGGTGAAAAAAACATGTCGCCACGTGCATTCCGGGTGATGTTTCCAGTTGATGGCCCCCTCTGGTGTTGTTTTACTGGTAAGAAGCGCTCACTTTGGATCGGGCTTCTCCGAAGCTAGCCTCATCTCTGCGCAGAGGGGTTACATTATGACGTGAAGACTTCTTCTTTTGTCCAACAACCACTTGTCCAACAAGGAAATGTCAACAATGAATTGTTACCGTGTTTTTGTCTCGGGTTGTGTCCTTTTCTCTCTGTCCGGTTAGTGTTGTTTTTATGTTCAATCTTACTAGATATTTAAAACCCTCCGCATGCGGCTGAAATCGGCTTTGTGTTGGCCTGCATAATCGTGCAGCTGGCAAAACCAAAACTCTATAGAGTGGTGGTAGCTTCTTGTAGAGACCGTTCCCAGTATGATTGCAGTACTGTAGCTAACTATGCACTTTTTTAACTAGTCGGTAATATTTTGCCGATAATAAATTCCCATGTCGCCTGCTATAATGCGGGGAAGATGACATCGCACAACTCCGTGGATACGACAGATACAAGCCTGTCAGGTGGGCATTGGCGTGAGTCAAAAAGTGGGCAAGTGGAGCCGTCGAAAGGTGGTTGAAGGACGAGTGTAAGCTGGTCAAGAGATGCTTATCAAAACTCGAGATGAGTACCACTAGAGAAAGATCGATATTGTTAAACGCTATTTTACCACAGTTATTAACGGCGTCCTACTGTACGAGTACTACCTGTTGGCAATGAAACTCCCCTTGTATCCACCGTTCTGTACATCTCGATATCTTTTTTTAGTCCGTCACCAACCGGTACATGACCCTTTCCCACCCTCTTTCTTGATGACTTACCTTCTACTTGAGGGAAAAGTCTCAGGATGTGCTTGTCTTGTTGCCCATCTCTTGTGTAGAACCCCGGCTTGTAGCCTTTTTCCAGTATTTGTTTAGTCAACATGAGGAGAAACGAGCCTCCAGGCACATGTGATATGAGATCAGATACGACAAAGGCGAAGCACATGAAATATCATTCATCTATCGAAGAATATCATCAAGCAGAGCGGATGCACCGTGTGTCGGTGTGCACATCCGTCAAAGTTCCGAGGACTGTCCAACCCCCAACAATCCATATACATGTACTGTGTTCATTTGAAGTTACTGATCTCAATGATAATAGTAAGTAACTGTGCTATACAATCCCTTGATGAATAATCTTTTCTATACAGGTACCATTTAGTATACTGTTACATACGGCTTTGATACGGCGTACCTTAGCTCGGTCTTATCTCACAATTTCCTTCCGCACCCTCCCTCATGTGGATGCCGCAGTTTGTTTCTGTTTGTCCAGCAAATCCCCTCTGGTACAAGTACAAGCACAATTGTAATAAGGCAATGGTCAGTTACAGCTGGAAATATTATGTCCAAGACGTGACATGTTTGTGTGCAGCACTTTATCTCTTTGTATTTCTTCTCAAAACAGGACCCTCCCTGCCCACGGTCTCTCTTACTCACGCTCGCCACACTAGAGGACTGATTATCAGGACTAAAGGGGCTGCTTTTTATAAATTTAACATTCTAGTCACGCCAACTGTGTCAGATGGTGCGTAGATCGTCAGGTCCTTGTGTCAGATCGTCCTTTCTGTATGTATCTTGGTGTCAGACAGACAATGACCCCAGCTGTCACCACCTTCAAAAGATACAATGCCTGTGTAAGATACACTAACGGAGTAAAGTATGGATCCCACAGGGGCCGCGAAGGCCCGCTTGTCAACCAGGGTCGTATCTTTGACGATCCACTTGGCAGTCAAAGCATCTTGGAAGGTGTAGACGACAGTCGTAGACGCAGAAGCGGGACAGTACACGTGGTAGAGAGACAAGACAAGGGCTCTAAGCATCAGAAAAGCCATCTTTTAGAACAGCCCAGCTGGATATTGAAACCTACAGATTCAACCGGTGTTTTGTTTGCGTGGAATTTTACGTATATAGGTGTTCAAGGTGGGCTAAGAACAATACGGTCATGATACAAGTTATCAATTTGGAAGTAAAGAACTTCAAAGCGACAAGTGTAACCACTTCACCAGAATGAAATACCTCCAGATTTGGCTAATAACTATGGTATCTCTACCAGAAAACAACCAACCTCCCGGCAGGTCCAGATACCGGAACTTATCCATTCAGCATACCCTGATAACCTTCTCAATACGAGAAACACGCTTCAGTTAGCGTCAGACTAAGGCATCCCCCATTTGATCAAGTTTAGCCTATTGTTTAGCCTATTGTCAAGGTGGTCATTAGCCTACTAAACACGAGAGGCACACTAGCAAGACGACAGGGTCTGTTGATCTGGAACATACCCATGGAGGTACAAGTACCAAGCTATCAAGAGAACTTACTTTCCCTGCCTTAGTGGGGCAGCACAAGCGTACTGCTTCATCGACTTGTAGTCTGGGCACAGCAACGAAGAATGCTCCAACACTTTACAACTACTTGTACGCACGAAAAAAAGCGGAGAAGTCCGATCACTCAGACTAATATGGAAAGATGAACTCCGATATTAACGAAACTGAGATCAAAAGAATAGGACTCTTTAAATAAGGTACAATATACTTGATTGGCAAAGCTATTGTAAGACTGTCTCGGATTAGTGAAAAACGTCACAAGTCCTGATGACACCCTAGACTCTTGTACTCTGTCAAACACTAAAGTTCCGATTTGCCAGATAAGGCACCTGTTGTTACCACTACTCACGGGCCGTCTCGGACCGTGTCCACGGCTCCTTCGGTAGTTTTGAAATGTTTTCTAAAGAAGTGGTATCTTGAAACATTCCGTGCGGGTCTCGGGAGGGATCCCAAAGTGTCTGATATCATCACGCCAACTAATGAGAATATGGGATACTATATTGACTGACTTGTTTACATACTGTACATACTCTGCACTTGTGCAGACTATGGTATTGTAGCTGCAATCATAGATGGGGAACAGTTGCTGGATATTGCTACCGCTACTGTAGTGTAGTCTTCTAATCGATTGAGGTGTTCCATAAGTTGATCTACTGCCTTTTAGTTGTAGTATCAACCAGATTACAAGGGACTTGGGTATTTGGAATAGTTGTGAATGAAAAGCAGCACCGCATCGACAAGCTGCGATAGTTTCCGCCAAGGGTG